TGATGATGATGATGATGATGATGATGATGATGATGATGATGATGATGATGATGATGATGATGATGATGATGATGATGATGATGAGGATGAGGATGAGGATGAGGATGAGGATGAGGATGAGGATGATGATGATGATGATGATGATTGTTATTATTATTATTATGATTAGTAAAGACCTTTCCCCAAAATAGTGATAATCCTTTACCGACTGTTACAGGTCATGGGACACACCCCAAGCACAGCTATCTCGATGAGTTCAATGAAAGGGGTTCGACAGCATGGCCTCATGAAACTGTTTGGCACCCCATTCTGCCCGGTCTGCGATCAATTTAAAAGACTACATCCAAGCGGCCCCAACATCCGGATCCAAGTCTCTCCGGCTGGGAAACGAACAGCTCACACAATGGATGATTGTTCGGTACGGGAGGTGGGCAACAGCATTCCACAGCTATGGCCCCTTATCGGTCGATTTTTGCAGCCACATCCATAGTCAAAAGATGTTAAACGTCTTTCTACCTGGCTTTCCAGCCATCGATGTTCTGAAGTTTAAGTCTTCAAGTGGAATGGGTTGTGCAACAATGGGAAACTACTGCTGAGATGAGGGTCACAGGATTTAAATTGTCAGTTCCCAGAGAGGCTCGTCTTAGATCTTTTTTAGCAAGTAGAAAAGGGGGAAGCTTTTGATCACTCATCCTGCCCATTGCGTTTATTTTATACCGTTTTAATCCATTTCATTGAAGCTCCAGCTTGGTCCCGATCGTGAGTCGTAACTCGACCCAAAAAAGGCCTCGACGTCTGCGGCGGTTCCGGAATGCTCTCCAGGAACTGTTCAGCAGGACAGAAACATATGAGGCCTCTCTGCCCAATTCAGGTTTCTACCTGCGAAACACATCCTGCTGAACATTGGCTTCGCAAAATCCGAGGCTTCTCAAAATGGTGCCTAGGGTTGCAAGTTGATTCAAACTGAGGGCATAATCAATCGCCATGCCCCTTTTCAAACATCGGACGACGTTCAAAGTGGATGTCCTCCATGCGCTTAGGCAGAAGGACAGAACTAAGAACCTCTTTCCTCGCTCCCTGATCGCAGGGAAGATCTAGTTTGCTGGTTGCATTTGCGTGGACTCTGTCGAAGGCCATCTACATGACACACATTTGTTTGGAATACCAAGCTTTCTGAAGACGCAATGTTGGAGGCCAGGCTTTAGTAGAATCTGACGTTTTAGACACGACACAGCATATCCCCAAAGGAAGGCCTGGAGAAGGAGAAATGAGAAGTAGACAAAAACGAACATACAGTCAGACTAAAAGCATACTAAACACATCTAAAACACATTCTTGCTTTGGGGTCACCCTATTCCAAGACACACATTTGGGAAGCTTGGAGCTTTTTCAATCCCTTCCGTGTGTTAGCAAAAGGCCCTGGATCTTCTACAGGGTCATGCTCTTCTATCCAAATGGATCGGAATTGTTGCCAGCTGTGCCAAGTAGACCTTCTGGCCAAGTCCAGCCTGCAATTCCTTAAGCCTTGGAGCCAACTCTTCTCGCTCGGAGATCCCTTGAACCCTACTCCGTGACGTGCTGTTCGCCAAGCCTTCTCTCCGGTCGCGAGTCGACCTAGCTCGGTCACGGCCACCGTTTCACAGCTGAGTGGGGTATGGATGTTGCTCCCTCACAACAGCGTCTGCTTCAGCGCGTCGCCACACCTGCAATCCGAACATGCAGGCCCGAAGAGCGATGGCCTCCAACCTGCCCCATCAACAGAGTTCCGGAAAAAAACACCGACTGCTTTAGGTTGAAGTGTTTTGAAGAAGTTGCAGAGACAAGTCCTGCAAGAAACCGCTGGTGCATGGTCAGGCTCGCAAGTTGTTGGTTTCGAGATATCAAGCGAAAGATCTTCCGACATATCCCCAGAAGATGTGCGAAGGCCCAAGGGCGAGGCAGGGATGTCTACTTCACAGGGAGACAAGCGGAAGGACCCATTGGTTTGGTCATCGATGTTTTCTTTCACCTGCAAATCTTGTGGTCTGGGTTGCCCTAGTCTGATACACCCCCTTTCAAGAGGGGCGCGTCGCGTCTACACCGGCGATCAAGGACGCCCGTCTTCTCGGTCTCTGCTGACAAGTACAGAATGGCACCTCCCTGCTGCGAGTGTTGGTTGTGGCCAGGGCTGTTTGCGGCCGTGTGAAGCCGTTGGAAAAATCCGGACAAGGACAACCCTGGTCCTTGACCTCATTGAGTTCTGTTTTTGCATGACCAGACCCAGTGAAATGAGGTCCTTGACTTGTAGCTATCCATTCCTTTCTGTGCGATATCGACATCACCCAAAAGGCCGAAGCAGCTTCGCTTCCCATCGAACTCCCGCTGCCTAAATGGCGGTCACGACCTCGAGCAGGTCGGGAATGTTGGACGCAGCACAAAAACAATTACTTAAAGGACATTCAGGCGAACCCCTTGACATCTAAAGAAGAGTGACATGAACTATGAACAGGAAGACATGCTGACAGTCCCAATCGAACATCTCCTCCTCCCAGTCCAGCGCTTTCAACGACTCCGGGCGCTCCGGTGCCCGGGAAGACTCGCTGAGCCCCCCGAGCATCGACGCTGGAGGTCTGGGAGGGTCGTGAGGGACGTGATGGCCCGGCCTCCGGGCATCGGTGAGGGGTCGGAATACCTAAGGACTGCCTATGCACACTGCCTATGCACACTGCCTATCCACTGCCATCCCCCACTCAATTCTAGGGCTTATCATGGTGGCGTGGCACAGAGCAATGCCAGGGCAGTGGATGAAGAACAGGCCGGAGTTCAAAAGCGAACGATCGACAGTGTCTCCGGGTGATTTCGAAACAGCAACCTTGTTTGTTGCAGGGAGTTCACACCAAATTACCAGTTGCTGAACGGAAACAAATCACAAATACATCTTATATATATTGAGAAAGCGGGGTAAACTTCATTGCGCTATTGGGTGGGGTGGGGTAGGGTGGGGCACAAACCCTGGCTGTACGCACTGGAGAAAAGATCCTTTCCTGCTACTCACAATCTACCGACACTATTCGTCTTCCCAAAAGCAACACAAAAACAATGAAACAACGTGGTGATTTTCACAAACGTCTCACCGTCTAAAGTAAACCCGGCGGTATGCATGTATATATATATATACACACACATGCATGTATGTATGCATGCCTGTATGATCATGTATGTGTATTACGTACACATGTATGGACAATAGATCAAATGCACAGTATGCACAGTTTACAGTCACAACCCTGCAGGGTGGGCCCGGCCTCATTGCTGTCGCGCGATTGACGCGACGGATCTGCCTCCCACAAGGGCAAAACACTTCAAAACTGCCCTTCCAAATTGGCAAAGGTGGGGGTCTCCCTAGTAGATTCAGGTACAGTTTGTTGCTTGTGAAGTCAACCAAAGATCAAGCGTCATGAACAATCGGTCGAATAAAGACTGAAGACCTTGTAACACTTCGATTCTCCCTGAAGACTTAGTTCTTCACTCCCCTCCCGACAACTAAACATAAAGAACACCGCCTCAAGCCGCCCTTGCCTCGCGGGTCGCCCTCCCTCGCGCTCTCCCGCATCCAGTTTGACGCATTCGCGAACGCATTCCGTTCCACGTTTGTGGGAGGAGTCCAACATGAAATAGACGCAATCATAAGCATTTATTATACCTGGCACTCCAGTCGTTATGAAATTTCAACTTAAGATCAGAGTAAAAACTTAAGTTGTCAATTACGCTTCAAACATGGTGTGGATCGTTTATTTTCGTCTTCTGCCGGGTATTCAGTGTCAGCACACATCCAACCGTGTCAGCACACATAAGCTCAGATCCGAATGGATATATAAAACCGTGTGGGACACAACAAAAGTGTCAGATCGTGGAATCAGTTATTTTGTATTGAACAACAATTTCAACCGAATCGGACATCTAGGTATATTATATATAACTATACGTATATGATAGTATATATATATGTAATTATTTATATGTATTTATGCTCAGCGAGCTTACATGGGTCTACCATGTGGGCTATGTATGTATATATCACGTATATATGGATGAAACTATGTGTGAAAAATAGATGATAATGGATCTCACAAATGCACAATTCACAGTCACACACCCTGCAGGGTGGGCCCGGCCTCATTGCTGTCGCGCGATTGACGCGATGGATCTGCCTCCCACAAGGGCTGAAGTTGCTTCAAAACATGTCAAAACTGCCCTTCCAAATTGGCAAAGGTGGGGGTCTCCCTAGTAGATTCAGGTACAGTTTGTTGCTTGTGAAGTCAAAAAAGATCAAGCGTCATGAACAATCGGTCGAATAAAGACTGAAGACCTTGTAACACTTCGATTCTCCCTGAAGACTTAGTTCTTCACTCCCCTCCCGACAACTAAACATAAAGAACACCGCCTCAAGCCGCCCTTGCCTCGCGGGTCGCCCTCCCTCGCGCTCTCCCGCATCCAGTTTGACGCATTCGCGAACGCATTCCGTTCCACGTATTGGGCGGCGTTCGCGGGGGGAGTCTCGCCACCTGCGGGTGATCCTCGGGAGTCGGCAGGGAGCTCGAGGACTCCGACTGCTCTGACTCCTGGCCCCGGAGACGGGTCGAGAGCGCCCGAGACGCCCAATGGGCCTTAAGCTTCCGTTGGACCATTCTTAAAGATGGGAAAGACCTGGTGTTGTAGTGTGAAATCCTTAGTAAAGCAGCTCGGTGGTTTTATATCAATGGTGGTGGGAAACCGAGGGCTTGGATGAAACCCACGCCTGCTATCCACTCACCCACTGGCATTTTTGGGCGGTAGATTTCGGCAGAATGTTCTGGACATGTTGGACATGTCGCGAGAGACAACTTTGAGACAAGCCAATGGAATGGAATGCCATCAATCTACCCGCAAGCTCACCCTCAGAAAGTCACAGTCTCATTTCCATAGCATATCCTAGCTTTCAAAGGAAGTTGATTGCCCTGAGAATATCGGACACATACCGTTGGGCCGAAAGTCAAAAAGAAGGACCATCGACGTCTATGTGGATCAGTACGCTGCCAAAGAACTGCTTTGCATATCGCTTGTGCTCGCAGGATTCGGTAGGCCTTTGATGGCAGCCAATCTGGCTTGGTATGACAGGTGTAGGCAAATGATACAAAGAGCTGTCATAGGATGTCATATTCTTGGCAGTGGGCCAAAAGCAGGATACCTTGGTTGATCTACGAAGGTGAAAATGATTGAATCAAGGGGAGCCTTTGTTGGAACGACGGGTGCTTCCAGTTGGTCTTGTCATGGTCGAAAAAACGTTATGTAACCCATCTGCGCGCAACCGGAGTGGGCCTTTTGGGAGCTTCTCTTGCCCAATCTGGTAGAAGCCATTTGGAGGAGTCAATGACGTGAAGGCTTGCAATGGCTTGGTCTCATCATGGGTCACCAACCGTCCATTTATGATACATCCATCTGCTTGCATCCACTTCCCCTTCGACAAAACAGCTCTTTGCTGCGGATTCTTTTGTTTAAGGCTTGGCCCGTTATAGGTCACTGTCCTCATCCTGAAAGTTCTCAGCATTGGAATAGTCGGGCACTTCGACGTCCGGGGCGTTCCGACCTCAATTGATGGACAGATTCTGTGAATTCTCCCCCGCCCTGCAGCAACATATTCTTCTCTTTAGAGAATAAGCCGAAGGTCCGCAGGGGCCTGAACGCGGCACCGACCTGGTCCCTGGTGGAACAGATCTTCCGAGCCTTTGGGGTTTTGCAGCTCAAAAAACTGCTCGACTTGCAGAGTTATCTTTTTTGTGTTGCCTGGTTTCACACTATGAGAAGAACGCCGTCTAAGTTTTATGACTGAACCCCCCTGGTCGCCCGAGAAAAACATAAATAAATAAATAATACATAAATAAATATATAATATATATACAGTATATATCAGTATATGTAAAAACAACATAATCATAAAAACGACGAACACAAAGGAAACGGCGGGTCTCGGCCGGTCTGCCTTCGTCGTCAGGGTCAAGGCCGGTCTCCTGCATGAAGTGGTGCTTGTTCTTCTTCTCCTGACGAGGAGAAGATTTTGTTGAGAGTCTTCTGGACATGTTGGGGATTCTTTGCGGGCTACCACCGGACCACACAAGTGTTGCTCCAAAACAGAGTGGACTCGTCACATAGTCCGCCAACAACAGATTGAAGGGTATGTGCATTGAACAAGCGGGTAAACGATAAACATGATCATCCAGTCTGGGATCTCCATCTGGTCACACTCATGGTCCTGGCTCAACATGAATGAACCCAACAAAGGATTGCCAGAAAGGCCCCACGGAGGCTTGCAATTTGGGCAGAACGCCAGAGACACTATTCATGAAGAGGGCCCTCATGCTGTAGCAAAAGGCTTGCGACCATCAAATCATCTTTGCCCCAAAGCCTTGAACAGCTTCCTCGTGCGATTCATGGTTTCCACCACCGTGGTCTTTCTCAACCCAAGCAGGCCCAGTCGGGCGAAGGCTCCCTAGCCTTTCTATGGCCTTCATTCCATGCTGCCATGCGCTGCCGTTGTTCATGGCTCCCACCTCTACTCCCTGACTACACCACCACTACACCTTCGGGCTTCATCCGTTCCCTCCGCTGTTTCCGGTCTCCCCCCCGCTCCCGGCGGCGGATGTAGAAGCGTCCGCAGTAAAGGCCCACACCTTGGTGTGAAAGCGCGGAGGGGGTGCTGTTTTGGGCCACGGAGAGTGTCTTTCTGTCTTCCTTTGCCAAGTGTCATTCGGTTTGAGGTTGGTGAAATGAGTGGACACATTTTGGAGTCTCAAGTGTTTCTGCAGATTAATGAATATGAATAGTGTAAATGTCGCATCAGTGAAATGGTGAACGTGTACGATACTTGAGGCCAATACGTCGGGAAGAAACATTTCCGAGCATTTCACCTACAAATATCTACAATCAATTAGAATAAGTTTGTGAAAGCAACGCATGGGCGAACCTAAACAGGTCGATCGCAGGCCTGAGCCTTGAACCTGTAGAACCGACATGTAGAACCGACAGAAGATAGCAAAACACATCAGGGCATGTATCCATGCATCGCCAAATGTATAAACACATTTCTTAACATATATAAACATGGATTGATTGGAGCTCCGGCATGCAAAGGAATCGCAGGATATATTTGCACAAATTCTTATCTGAGATTAACCTGAAATCGACTATTTATTTGGGGAGTCACAGGACAAGTGACAGGGCAGCCACTGTCTCCACAGCTTTGGCTCCTAAGTAAACCAGTTGTTCTTGAAACGCTTAAGCTCATGCATGCGAATGCGTTGAATGTTCTTGTCGTTGTGCAGGTCAAGCCACACTTCCACAGGATTTCTGCCTTCACCTTCCAGTGCTGGTCTTGCTAGCAATAGATTGGATTTTTTTGGGATGAGCTTGATGAACTTGGCATCAGGACACCTGCAAGAGCTTCTGTACAAGCAAATGAGTTGCCCGAGTTTCCCCTGATCTTTTGACGGCGTCTCGGGTTTGCCTGCTTCGTGTGTAAATCATGCTTCCGCCTGTCATAGTGAACTTTAGATTGGTGCATTGAGACACTGGTGAAGCGTTCAGAAATTGTGTTCTTTCCTTTTTCTTAAAGGAGCGACGTTAGCCGCCCTAGTTTTGTGCGGGCAAGGGGCTCTTCTATTGTGAAGGTGTAAAAGCATACGTATATGGGCATGCATTTGTAAGACCTCCAGTCCCTTGCAAGTATGCCGCAGCTGGTGCTGCCAGTGGCTGGTGTGCGGCTTTTCAGAAGATCAGTAATCAAGTACCTGTCCTTCCCGAGCCGTCTTTTAGACTCGCCTTTGGCACATGCATCTTGCAAGCGCAAAATACACGTACCAATGACATCTGATGACTTCATCCAGTAGGGCCCAATCGGCACAGTGCTGACTAGTGAACCCGTACAACCCCAAAACCACCGTTTTTTAAACGCCTCATTCATTTCCAGGCAGGACCCAGGCAGGACTGCCGCGTGGTTTCTTCACCTCTTCTGTCGAGTGTTCTCTCCACTATCCACCGTGCCATGTAGGTCGAACTAGCGGGGGCCACCACCGGAAGAAACACCATCACCTCTACTGAGCACTGTATCACACCTGGGCTTCTGGGATCGGTTCCTGATCATTCAGGCACAGCTCTAGGGGGCTTCCTCTAGGGTTCCCCACAAAGGCCACAGCTCAGGAGGGTGATGAAGGCAATGGTGATGCCAGCGATCGTGCCAGCGTCCATGTAGTCCGGTCCAGGAGGTGCTTCCCTCAGCTCATGCAGTCTAAGGATGCTGTCAGATCTGATGAGTGGTCTCCAGGAAGGGGTAGGACAAAAGCTCACAAGTGACTGGTGTCAAAGAAAAACACACATTAAGAAATATCGTCTTAACATGTCTTAACAACAAAGGTTGGATTTATATACAAAGCTTAAGTGGATAGATGACCATGATGAACATCGACAGGGACAGCACCAACACAAACATTTAAAAGAACGTCTGACTGACTCAGTCAATCGGTCGGCTCTTTCGTGACTGAGTGGGACGAAGACGAAACACATGAGACAGCAAGCGAAACGATGCGAAACGGTGATTGGGAAGACATCTGGAGCAACGAACTCAAGCAGACTCAAGCATCTATTGCAACAGAAGACCTTCATGCACTTTCCATATTGCCCACGGTACCTGCCTCAGAAACACCAGCGCAGCTTTCTGAAGTTCTGGTCGTGTGCACGAAACAATCACCGCAGGATTTGGTATGGTGAAGGAGCATCGGTTTTGCCATTTGGAGGTCACGACCCTTCCCCAAGCAAGAGAGCCTCCACGAAAGCTTCCACAAGGCAAAGTAGATAAGTGTGCAATATATATATATATATATCTGAAAGGGTGACCCCACAACCACTATGGCTTGATGTTGGAGTGTTCTAAAAAAGTGGGTCAACCCCTATCTTACATCCAATTCCATAGATCTGTATCTTTCTTTTCTCGGTGAACTGTGGAAAAACTCGTTCCCCTTTGGACCCTCCAACTGCTACGCACAGCTTCGTTGTGGTCACCTCCACTGGCGGCGCTTCGAAGACCTGACGTGAGGCAGAAAGCCCAGGTGCTAGTGCTAAAGCTTAAAGGCCTTTGGCAAAGCCGTAGTATCAATAGGCAGAAAACCAGAAAACCTGGCTCATGGAGGTGGTTCCAAAGTATATAGACGACTAATCACGAGTATGTATCTTTTGGATGATATGACGCATTTAAGAGTCTCCCGCATCATATGGGTGTGTGTTTCAAATCAGCCGCCCAACCCGGTTGATTTTGGTATATTTTCTCCGGACTCTACTGAGCAGCATGTTTTTCCTTGTTCCGAGAAGTCACCCAGAGGTCACAATGCGTCTCGATGAGCTTGAACAGCTCAGGGCCAAGGAACTCAAGTTGGCAACTAGACCCACAAAGTCGTTGCGCGCATGACTTTCCATCGTAGCGACGCCTCACTCCTTTCGTCTCAGGAAATCAAACGACACATCGACAAAAGCCCGGCACCTCATCTCCGATGACCACCTGAATGTTGGCCTCAAAACGGGGGCTGTCGAAAGTATAATATAAGGGCTGGTGCTGCTGGTGGCTTCTATGGTTGATGCCCAAGCACTCCTTGTATGGCCTATTTATGCATATTTACATTGGGGTTGTTGTTGTCCCATGGAGTGTGTGGGATGGATCATGTCCAGTGTCCGCGGCATCTCAGCGAAAGCAACCCATAGCGATGATATGCGATCATCTAATCTTCAGGTTCAACAGCTAAAAGATCCATGTCGTGGAATCCATCTCCTTCAAAACCCATACATCCCAATACCCTACTGGTATCTGGGGTATGCTGACGCAAAACGTTCCAACACCCAAACAATTGAAGAACTACCTCTGCTTCTTGTTACTACTAGCGATGCACCTGTTACTACTAGCGTGGCACTTGTTACTACTAGCGTGGCACCAAGAACTACCTCTGTTTTCTCTTCAGTTCTTCTGGTGCCCGCCGCGTCTCCGGTGGCTCCCGCCTGTCGGGCGGTCACCGTCACCGAATAGGAGGAGTTGCCCTCTGAGGCCTCTTCGATCGCCTGGTGCACGGTGAAGCGTGGGTGAAACGAAGTGAGGGGACTTGACATGGACTTGAAGCGAATGCGGCATCGATGAACACTTTGGGCACTGTCTTCTGGACTAGAAGTACATTAACATGAATTAATGGGATGGTAGATCTTAGATCGATGCAGATCTTAGATCAACCACAATCAACCAATTTTGCTAGGATTTGCCAGGTTGTCCTGAGCCTTTGAAGCCTTCTCCGTGTCACGTTGTTGCCGTCGTCCAAGAGCGGAAAGCAAGCTCTCCATGTTGTTCCTAACTTGGTTAATTTCCCAACGGATGAATTTTCCATTGACTGGAGCTCCACCACTGAGCTGTTTCTTCCAGCGTGGACAGCCGTTGTTTCTTCGGTCACGCGCCGCCTGAGTGATGGATTGAGCGAATTGCTCATCCGTTGGCAGGGTGAGCGCTGTGAGCATCTCTGTGCCGCGGGAGACCGCGGTGCCTCGGGCCGCAAAAGAAAAGCGTCGCGAGTCCAAGGAATCGAAGGTAGTTAGTTTCAAAATGCTAGAAGGTTGGGGATGATTGGATGTATATAATCGGACTATATCGGATTGGTTTATATTGTTTTCCTTGAAGACTTGTAGACTATGATGACTATGAACGACATAGGCATATAAAGGAAACATAAGAATCATAAGACAACAATAGAAAACACAATTGTTCCCACAAAGCGGCCTTCATGGTTGTCATTGTGACATGTTGTGACTGAGTGACCTGCCAAAACCCATCAGGACGCAGTTGGAAACACAATACCACGTGAATGTTGTATGTGTGTCGACTTGAATACGGGCTTCCGCCGGCCTCCGCCATGCAGCCCGGGGGGTGATGGTCCATCATACTACTGACTGAAAACCGCTGGTGGGGTGAGCCCACACGATGTTGGCAACACTCTTACTATCGCTGGTGACTATGGTGGGTGCAGCAAAAAGGAGGTCATCTTCATCGTCACCAGGTGGCTTTCATCCGCCACCTCAGTGGTGACCACATAGTCCACCTTAGGTCGCGCCCGGTCAGCCCGGTTGCGTCCGAGCTCTGTCGCTCAAAAATAAAAGCCATCTGGTTGACTTGGAGATCTTGAAAAATGCCGATCTTCCAGCCAATGTGCTCCGTCCATTCAAACGGTATCAACTTGTCACTGCATTGCAAAACTGAAGATACAGGAAGAACAATCTATGGACCAGATAGATCCGTGGCTCTTTTCCAGCCACAGTGCTGCATCTTCGTAAGATTTCTCGGCCAGATTTCTCCGCAACATCTCTCACAAACAATCACAGATTCCTCATTGGCAGGTCACTTACCCATATTAGATTCATCATCAAGGCGGTCGAGTCGCGCGCACCACGAGTTCTTGAAGCCGACGAGCCACTTCCTGAGTCGTGCGGATGAGCTCTGCGGAGCAGGCGGGCGAGCGGGCGAGCGCAGGGCCGTTCAGAAATCGTTCAGAAGAAGTGGTGCACCTCTGATTCTCTAACATAGAACATGATTTAGCTTTAGATGATTAACATAGAAATATAGATGATGGAAACTGGACTAAATAGTCACATAGTCCCTTGGAAGAAGATTTTCCTGTAGAGGGGGTTCCTCAATTCCATGTTAGTGAGTCAAAGCGTGCCAGCAAAAAACTTGCTGGATCGTATGCACCTCTCCGGAAAACCTAACACTTTGGGGTATCCCCTCTACTGGGTGACTGGCTCAGGGCCAGTCAAGTCGCAAAAGAAGTGGTTTGAACGTGAACCTCATCTAAAATCTAAGGTCAAACTCAAGCGCTTGGAGAGCCGTCGGCGCTTGGAGAGCTGTCACTCTGTTTTTGTTCCTCGAAAAATCTAGGAATGTGTTCTGTCAAATTTTGGGGAGGGACCGTTTTCTTGTTTTTCTATATTTCTTGAGTGGGAAGCTTGCTTGGCGCCTGGGCGGCTTCGCAGAAGGTCGGGGAGGGTGGTGCGAGGTGTCAACATAAATCAATTCCTTAACGAAACATCAACTCAAGCGCGAAACTCCTTTTTTAATCAAGGGTTGACAGGATCCTCCCGCCCTCCCCTGGGCACCTTACCCAGGAAGGGAACCTACCCAACTTAGTCGGGAGGCCTCGCTCAAAGAAGTTGCGCTTTCACCTCTTTGAATGCTTCTTCTTTTTCAATCTTCCTCTCCAAGATCTCTTTGGACAGGGCTTTGGGATTTTTCCGGGAGTGCTTTAGAATCAGAAGGAGCAGCAAATTTGTAAGGAGAAGGAGCGGGGGAGAGCGAGTGAAAGAGAGAGAGGGAGAGGGAGATAGGGTGACAGGGGGAGAGAGAGGGGGAGCATGCCCAAACAAAGGGAACATGGAAGGTTTTGCGACATTTGATGTGGAGGTGACAAAGGACCCAAACTGTTGAAAGAAATCGTTCGTTTGCCTTTCATGGACCTGGCCATGCCAATGATGCAACAATGAGACATTAATGTGATTCATTACTGCAATGTACTAAGACCTGGAGATGGGTGGGGTTAGGCAGTGGATGACAGAAGTATATGAGAAACAAAGGTTGCAGGCATTGTGGGGTACAAGTTGGACCCCTGAAACATGTACCATTTCAATCCATGTCAATGGTGAGAAAAAGAAAAGACCTAGAGATGAACGGTACCATGCAGTGGATGCACGGTACGGGCTGCACGGCAGTGGTGTTCCATTTTGTACTGGTCCTGTCTCTCAGAGAACATGGTGCGGGGTCAGGTGACATGAGCGAAAGGACGGTCCATCCCATCCCATCAAACCGAACCCCATCCCCCCGTGTGGTCCATCGGCCAATCCTGAGGAGGAAACAAAGATCCACCAAACCAAGCTGCGAGGAAAGCCAACCTCCGGTCTGGGAACGGGGAAACTGTAGTGTCTGTGACGTTGGCGCTGGTATTCACCACCTGCCGAGCACCCAGCACGACGGGCCAAACGCACGGACGAGCGCGCCCGCGCGAACCGCTCGGCAAGCGTGCGACAGAAGGTCTGCGCGAGGGAACACGTCCAAAGTCCCCCTGGCACCATCCAGAGAGCGTCTTCACATCTGGCATCAATGAAGCATCTGGTTCAAAGCCTTCAAACGAGTGATGGTGTTTTTGTATATCGTTGACGTCTTGGTCAAATTCCATTTCCGATGTGCCTCCAAGGTCACATTGACATCTGACTCATTCACCTGGCAAACAACTTGACCCGGTCGAAGGCTGCCGGTTGGGCGGGGTGGCTTGGATGGATGCTTTCGCTGGTGTGTGGTCACCTACATAGTGTTTTCTTTGTTGGTGGCAACAAAATGCAACAACAACCGGATCTCATCCGTCTCATCCAGCCTCAATCTGAGATATCTGAGGGAAGGATAGCACCAAACCCAGGAGTAAAATCTCAGTGGCGATTGTCCAGTTCCGCCCGAACCGAAAAAAAGAAACACCTCACGTCGTGTTCCCAAACACCCACGGCGCGGGGGGGGGGGCGAGATCTCGGCCGCCGGTGGGGCGATGGCGATGTCTGCTCGCAGAAAGCGCCTCGCACATCTGTGCGATGCTCTTCTTAATACCTCTCTTGGCATTCTCGTCTTTCACAAACTCCTGCCAGGAACAGAACAGAACTCCTTCTTGCGGTGCAAGGCGCTTTTTGCGCCATAGGCGCAAAGCGCCAGTCGCCATTCTTTTGAGGACGACAAGCAGAAGGGTTGATGATCCCAGGACTCAAATGACTTGTCCAACAGCTGGGTTTATGGGATGGTCCACATGTCGTTCACCCATGCGACCAATCCGACAACATCTCACGTGTCGCCATGCTGCTGCCCCGGGATGCACCCGTATATAAACACACAAGCGACTGAGTGCCCGACGGAGGGATTGCCCACTTGCAAATCCAACCGGCCTGCTACAGATGCCTCACAGCATGCACATCGGAGACACCAACACGGGTAAGACACAGCATGTGTGCCAGTTGTGGAGACCAGGACATTGCATATACCTGGATCTTCCAACTTCCAACTGTGACAATTTTGCATACGTAGTTGGAAGATCCAGGTATAGAATGGTATATATAGAGAGATCACTGAGATCACTACCATTGAGCCGAGCAGTTGGGTGACCTAATTCTCACACCCACGTTCTTCCACGTTCTCCGCAGATTGGGGGCATTCCGTCAGGTGATCTGACAGTGGGTCCAAGCGGGTTCCACCCATGGCTTCCACCCATGGGTTCGGTGGACTTCGACCTGACCTCCGGGGGGGTTTCCCCGGTCTTCGGTGACTCTGGACACGTGTGGTTCATCGAGCCGAACCCTGGTCGAACCCAACGGGTGATGTGGTGAACATGGGCGGAACATCGCAAAACTCGCCCACTGTCTACAAACCCTTAGGATCCCTTAGGTGCTTTGGCATGTTCTTGCTTGGATGCTTGCAGGTCGCCTGTCAAATCCAAGATCCAGCACTCCTTGCACATGTTTTTAATGTTTTTCAGTCTACCTTGGTCCTAAGTCTACGGTCTACATACAGGGCGTACAGAGTCACAGCATGAAACATCAAGTTGGTTGTGTATAGGGAGACCTTCCAAAGATCCTATGGACCTTGGGCCAGAATGTCTCCCATAAAACAAACACCCAGCTAGCTAGCTCATCAACCATGGCACTTGGTCCAGGTCCATTTTGTGGGGGGGCGAGATAAACACGTCAGATGATCTCCCGCGCTGGGCGCCGCAACAAACAACCGTTTCCAAGGTCTGCACATAAACTGGAAGTTTCACACAGTCTGGCACAGTACCGTTGAGCGCTCCTGTTGCGTGAATGGCGGGCAAGGTCCACCAGAGGTGGGATGCCATCAAAGTGTGATTCCCCTGTAGATAATCTAGTTTGCGCACGGAAAGTCAAATCAGAGACCAATCATCATCTTAAGATTCTGCAGATTCTTAAGGTGTTCCTCTCCATCCTGCAAGAAGATAATTATGCAACCAAATGGAATGGCAGCATGTTCAGTAACTTTGGGTAGAGGTTTACCGGCACAACATGATGGAAATGGGGTACCTCTAAGACCTTACCGGAGACCTATGTTTTGAGCGTGGATGCCATCAATTTGTGCTGTGTTGCGACTCTGCGGTTTGAGGATTCCCACATGTGAACAGCTCCTTGCAATGGCTGTAAGGTCTCACTTTCGCAGTGTTCACTCACAACAGCTTTGTCTCTCTTAGGGCTCAGAAATCCAGCCGGTGGTTGAAGACTGAAGACGTCGTTTTTCCAAAATCTCACTAGATGCCATCTATTTGTTCTAGGATCTAGCCTCAAGTGGTTGATGGCATTTCCCAAGTAGAGATCACAAATTGATGGCATATCAAAGGTGTTTGCGAGTGCCATCAAAGTGTGATTCCCTATAGATTGGCCCAATAGGAGGTGAGTGTTTCAATCCAACAAACTCATTCAGCTGCTCCCCTGGATGTTCTTTGGTGTCCTGCTGAGCAATTGAAGAATTCATCTGGCACGCCACCCCAGCCGCGAGCGCAGCCGATGGTGCAATTGTCACCTAAGTCTCACTGTTGAGGCATGTTGAGGCTGGTGAAAAAGAATCTCATATCGAGATGGCGGGAGAAAGCCAGTGGAGCTATTGCCTTCTGCCACCAAAACAACGGATGCCTTTCGGGCCAACCAGTCACTAGTGCACTTATCTCTGATCTTCGAACACCTCATGAGTAGAAATCCACGACCGCATGGCGCCCCGATGGCCGCGGTGGTCGCGGGCGGAGTTCCCGCTCCACCGCCTCAGGGTGGTAGCGGACCCGGCTCGGTGCCCGGACCCGGTCGTGTGGCATTGTCGCAGTTGTGCTCATATTGTTCACCCAGCCGCAGCGCGAAGGCGGACTAGATTAGGGCAGGAAAACAAAAAACAAACAAACAAACAAACAAACATGAAACGATCTGAGACGCTAGGGGCGTTCAAACGACGCTGGGAGAGCAGATGCTCCCCATGGGTTTGATGTGCAGCGATGCACGGTTTCGAAAAACAGCTGCCAGGCAAATCAACTCTCGAATTACCGTAGTCTTGCAAGACCAACATGTCCTACGCCGTTACAAAGACTCACTTGCGCAGCTGTGCTTGCAAGACCAACATCTCAAGGATTCACAGGAAACTTCAGGTCCAAGATGTTCCGAGACTTCGAGACAGGAGAAGACCAGGTCTAAAAAAGAATCAACAAGACCAAGTTTCTGATTGTCTTCTGTCAACATGAACCGAGTAGATGGTTTCTGCACCGAGTACATGGCCCGGCGTGCCTGGCTTCCGCTCCCCAGCCCAGCGGTCGCGCTGGTGGGTGGCTCGCAACTCTTCAAACTGCAGCTGCTGAGGTCAAGGTTGTAAACCTGAAACAGCACATAGGGAGAACATAGGCACCATGGCTCCGTCAGACCAACACAACTTGACATGACATGGCTGGCTTTCTGCCAGCCAGCCAGTGGACCAGGATTCAAGATCTCCAAGCACCGGGGCAGTCAATTTTTGGGGCCGATGAGTGCCACCTGCAGGGGAGTTTTTTTTTGGAGGAACAATGGGTGGAAGGGTGGAGTCCAAAAAGCCAATGGTTGAGCGAAACACCCAGCCTGGACTAACAGGCGAGAAAAAGGAGACAAACCATGGCCAAACCGTAGCATTCCAGGTTGCCAATATGGACCCCCCCGATGTCAAGCCACGGACCAATCCGGGTCGGTTTTTGCTCTTGAATCACCCTTCGGTGTTTGCTCATCACCCAAACACTTCATCAGCCATGGACCCATCCGTCTAACGCCGATGAACCGACCGAAACCGAAACGGACCCGAAACCCGACCCGCACGACCGAAACCGCTGGGAGTTCCCCAACCGAGGCCGAACATCCGATGGTGAACCTTGGCAAGTGAGAATTTGAACAAACCCTTCTGGGGAGTGTTGAGACCTAAAGACCTAAAGACCTCGCCCTTTCGAGCCAGGAAAGATGAAGAAAGATGAAACTTGGGTCAGCTGCGGAAACTCTGGCAACACCATAACTAGATATGATACCATATCCATGGGATACTTAACCTGAAATGCCTATGAAGTGATCTCCTTTTCCATCTGCTACTCCAGTTTTGGTCGCTGCGTCCGGTGGCACGTCCTGAACAAACAACCAAACAAGTTGCCCTCCTTTTGGCAACCTTGAAAGTCCCACACAGAGGTCAAAAGCCTGGGTCTCGGACTTGAACAAGTTGCCCCTCCAAAAAGACCTATACTTAGAGATTTGGATGTCACATCCTGGACAAGACGTCAGGACAATACTGGTCAAAGCATCACCTAGTATCACCTAGCGGACCTAGCGATGGTGAGGGAAGTCTTCGGCCGCGGCCCTTTTTTGTTGCCGCGGCCCATTTTCGGTGGTGACCTTAAACCCCTGCTCACTGAGACTAGGCTCGTGACTGTCCAAGGAGATTCTCGTCCAGTTGGCTACAGTTTCCAGTGCCCTGACCGCTCAGGTGGTGCTGGGCGGGCGGGTCATGAGTCGTACCTTTGTTGAACAGGAGAAACCTTTTAATACCGCCAAAAGAAAGGGTGGGAAATAGCATGGTGGTGGGATTTGAGCCCCAAAAAAACAAAGTTTCGAATGATTCAACTACAGTAAGCAGTTTGGTCCTCAGTTCGGTCTTGATGTTTTGAGTGTCCTCAGCCGGCATCACTGCCCTCCGGCTGCATTAAAGGAATATGTAGGGCCGCAGGCGGCAAGATATTGCAGGGGCTCTGGTACCCATGGACCCATGTATGTCAACATGACATATCTTATATATTATCTACCCGCACCGATTTTCAATCCACAGGGGTCTCACATATCCAACAATGCTGCCAAAACACGGGAGAATATGGAGAATGCTACTAATATCTACTAATTGAGGTACGAGTGTTGTTGTTTTGTCGCTCTTGCTGTTGTCGTATTCAACTTGGTACACCCGGGAAGAAGACCCACATGGAACACGAACATGGACCTTTGGAAAACGATTCTCCTCTACAACCCAGTGGGTTTTCAGCTTCCATGTTACTCTTCCCCGGTGTATTCCTTCTGGATTGTACCTGGTGCATCACGACAGGGCGAGACCGGGCGCAAACCGCTTGACGGCCACGGCCAAGTGCCTGGTACCCGCTGGGGGCTGGTGAAGTCGAGCCTGCGCGCGGACGGAGGGAAGAGTGAAGGAGTCTGCTGCGCGCGGACGAGAGTTGTCAGTTGGTCTCCAAATTGGATTGAAGCATATCATGAAAGGTAGCGTTGAAAAGGGATTCCATCTTTCAACCAAGGCGAGTTAATCTTTTATCATCTTTGATCTGCGGTGCTGTGGTCACATTGCTCTGTCCACCCAAAGCCTCTTGGATCCTCTACCCAGCATGATTCAAAAGCATGTCTCCTTATGAAACCATACCACGGTTGGTCTGATAGTTCCTTTCACAGGGACACCAGGTTCCACAAGAACTTCCCCATGTTCTGAATTCCAACCAGGCTCCCGAAAACACCTTTCTTTTCGCAGGCCTTACTAGTAGGCCATCACGGCCCTTCACTTCCCCCGCAAAAAACAGTGGTTCCCAACCAATTGGGACGAACGTCCACTCCGCCGTGAACCGCCACGTGTGCGTCTCCTTTCGACACCGAAGACTTCGCCGCGAGTTCACCGAAGACTTCGCCGAGCGACCAAGATTGCTCCCCGCCAGGCGGATCGTGACGGAGAAGCCTGGCACGGTAGCACGGTGGCGCGTGACGGAAGGTCAATTCTTAAGCCGTTGAGTCGCAAACCGGGACCATGAAATCCTTCAATGGACTACTCTATACTATACCTGTTAGGGACTCCCATTGGAACACTATTGGATGGGCCCCTGTGTACACAAACATTGCAAACTTGAGTGCACAAAGAATAGTAGAATCATTTCCAAATGCATTGGAAGAAAAAACAACTTGGACTTGTGTGACAGTCACGGCAAACAGTCACGGCAAATTCAGTCACGACTTGTCAGGACCAGTATGGACCAGTTATATATTTTATATATTGCACGCAAAGTAATACAACATAGAACACAGCACCGTAGGACCATTTGCAACCAAGGACTGACCATTTGTACATGGCTCCTCAAACTCTGAATCCGCTGAGACCTCCGATGTGAGAACCCTCCGATGGGGTGTGCCCTTCGATGTGTGCTTCCCAGGGTCCAACTTCGGACCATCCCATCGTCCCGTGCCCATCGTCCCATCGGTGCGCTGCGCTTCCTTTTGTCCGCGCCCCGAAAGCGGCGCGCCGGGGATTTGGAGCACCGTTTTGGGGGGAGCCTTACACCTCGAAAAGTCCAAATATACAGCCGTCAGCCGTCCTGGTCGCGGCAGGAATCATGCCGAGTACCCACCTTGATGTTGAATTCAGAAACGAATAGTCGACTGGTAGAGCCCAGCTCTTTCATGGGGACCACTTTCTGCAGTTCATGGTTGGTGCCCGAACGGCTTGAACACCGCAAACCATCGGCTGCAAGATGCTTCTAGTTCTTCAAGTTTAATCCCGCAACAAGTGTGATGGGTGGAGAAAATGGCCGATCCGACTTGAGTCACTTGAGTGAAGAGATTATACACAGATACATCTGACGGGCACTCTTTTGTTGACCGTGATCCTTATTTGATCCGTATTTGAGCAAACGCCATCCGTGAACAATTGGACTTGGACATGTCGACTCATGAAGAATGTCAACCTCTGCCGCTCTGACAAGACCTGCTGGCTGCTCAAGACCTCGTCGAGAAGGTCGTCGCCACAGAACTGCGCCGCGAGTTCACTGCAACTTGGTCGTTCACAGCGTCTGAACGCTTGGAACCAAACACTCCGACAAAGATGCTTTTTGTGTTTCTTAAGCTAAAGGATGCTGTCAGACTGCTGGCTATGAACATCCTAGGTGTTCCTGCAGAAAAAGTCTCCAGTCTCCAATGAAATCAGTATTGAACATTGTTGGCTCTTTGTCTGTCTGGCAGCCTCTCACGGTTTCCTCAGTTCCGCAGTTCATCCCTGGCACACGCATCAGGGCGCCATGGGATGCCGTCGGAGGACCAAGGGCGGGTGGGTGGGGTTCCAGGAGAACCGCATCGGAAAAGGGTGGTTTATAAACACCCTTTTGGGTGGTGCTGGATGTGATGTTCTTGTTTCATCTCATTTCCCCAGCCGTTTGGGCTCTGGATCTTTCAAACCTGTGGTCTGCATGGTCTGCAATTCGGAAGGGTTACCGACTCCGTGGTTCTTTGGCCAACCAAAGGAAACGACATGTTCAAGGCAGCGAGAAAAGGTCGAAGAGAGATCAACGGCTACCGCCCAGCTACCATGTCCTTGATTCTCATGTCTAGATTGGTCGTGACACTTCTGGTGATTTCATCATTACCATGCCTTGCTGCGCTCCATAGGAGCTTTGTTTTTCTGGTTGCACAGCATCCTTGTCTTGTGAGCGCTCAGCCCACCTGTCAACAGGGCTCCATGAAAACCGTGCCCTGGTTGCTTTGAAGGGAAATCCTTAGAGGCAAAAACACGTGGCTGAACGCAGCTCTACATCCTACAAAAAGGCTACATGTATTTTGTTAATACAGTACTCAAAATATCTTAAAGCATCGTATAACGGGAGATTCAAAGGCTCTTGCTTTTTCGTAGCACCTCTTGCCGATCTGGTGAGAGCTTGTGAGCATTCCATAAGTCTATACAATGCTGCAGAAATTGTGGGGTCCCGTCATGTTCTGCCATTTTCGTGTATCTCTACCTCTCTCTCTATCTATCTTTCTCTCTTAAGGCCGTTGACCAGCCCACAGCACCATCCAGCTTTGCTTTGCCCTTGATGCGCCGCACATCAGATGCCTCGTCCTGATTCCGACCAACACGGCACAAGATCTCCGGCAACCTCCATAAACTGGTGGGCTGGAACAACTGCTGGAGTCTTCATTTCTGGCTTCAAGACTTCTTCCAACAGAAACGATGGACACCTGTGGACACCTGTGAACACCTAGCCTGTGTCAAATGCACATCCATCTCATCTATTTTCCCTCTTCAGCAAGTCGCTTGCATCCAGAAGTGGATCATGGAGTTCCAGTAACGTAGACTAAACCCCCCATCTGGAGAGGTTTCACAGTCCAAATGCGGGGGGGTTAGCAGTCTACTTTTACTTCAACACTAGTGAAAAAACACGCGTCACCAGGCTGGGAATTGCGGACCCCCCTTTCCATCCCTTGGCCTGACACCCCATGGATCGTGCGGTGGCCTTCTTGGGGAACTCTAAGACCTCGATGACTTCACCTTGATGCCCGCCGGGCCGGGCGAGGGCGAGGGCGGCCGGCCCCTGCCGTCGAAACGCACCCAAAACCGACCACGGCGGGGATTGGAAGGACGGGAATCCGACGGGAGGTTTCGGGGCGCAGGTGGTGCTGGTGCTGGAGCTCCTGCGCCATCACTTCTTCGTCTTCGCGACGTGACCGGACGTCGGAGGCGCGGAATCCCGCCTTTCGTCACCTTTCGGATGGTGGCACCCTCCTTCACTGAAAGGACGTCAGAGAGCACTGTTTCCTGGCAATGGTTGACTTGGACAAATGCAGACCCTGAAGCACATTTTACTAAGAGTTGCTGCACTTTATAGAATGCAAAAGAAAGGTCGTTCCTTACAATATGCCAGACCAAGCTCTTCAAAGCAGGGTATACGATGAAATAGATTACCAAATAGAAACACAATTACACAGAATTTACTCAAAAAGAACCTTGTCAAAACTCGAAAGGCAAAGAGCTAGGAGTCGTACAGGCAAAAAACAGCGGGTTATAACATGCCGGAGCACTAAACTTTGTTTTTGCCCAATTGATTAAGCCTTCCGGATCTTTTCTTTGATTTTCACTGCGACAGGAGGTCCAGCAAACGAAAGAAAACGCCTGGCCACCTCCAGCCTCGAAATAAAGGTGATGTCGGGAAGAGATTGAGTGAACTGCAAGAGGTGGGTGGCCATGTCTGGAAGACTTGGAACAAGCATACCCTTGATCTCCAATTCTTTCCTTCTTGTTCTAACCTTCCAATCCAGTTCTTGAGTGTGCAAAATCCCCTGCGACAATACCTCTTTGATCCTCTTTAAGTTAAACACATGCATTTCCTTTTGTAACGCCCAACGATTGATGTCTGACAGGTCATTCCAGGTCCCCAGATTGCGGTGGTGGCGACTCGTTTTGTGTCTTTGGGACTCGTTTTGTGTCTTGTGTCTTTCGCGGCGGAGGCGCCTTCACACAGGTGTAGAAGTTTCCACCCGGCTCCAGAAACGTGGTCCCTTGATTCCCTGGCACGCCAGCGTGCGCCAGGCGTAGCCAGTGTGCGTGGCCAGTGGCGCCAGTGACGCTGGATGACAGAAAATGACAGGTCTACAGGTCTGCGGTTACATCGGACTAGGTGATAAAAACAGTCAACATGTGGATGCCATCTATACTTCCATCTATTTACCATCTATCAAGTTAGCTCAAACATCCTTGAAAGCCTTGAGCATCCTTAAGCCACCTCAAACCATCTTAAAGCATGAATGGATCCTCTCAGAACGCATCCTCCCCGTGCCCATGCTGTGCCGCACCTGCTACCGTGACCCAACCAGTGAGTTCATCCTGGCACACGTCATGCCAGGTCCATCTGGTCCATGTGGCCCCCGCCGGGTGGGAGGCCACAACCAGCAGTCACAAAGCTCGGGGTGCGATCCATAGAGGGTGCCGGAGTTGGGTGCCCCTGTCACATCCACTCACTGGATGGGACGAGCCACACCACCCAGACATGTGACTGCTGGAACAGTGGTTAATGTTGAAAAGCTTTGGAAGTTTGGTTGCTCTTCCCCCCCACGTGGGAGTCCCCCTATGGCACCTACTTGTGGGCTCTTTTGAGACCCCAAGCCGTTACCGGATCTGAGGCCACGTCATCCAGGCCACGTCCTCCCACTGTTGGGCCGTCCCAAGCCGTCCCAAGCCGTCCTGGGTGGAGACACAGTGCACCCGCATCACGCGGGTGGTCTCTTCGTGGCATGGAGGCGCCAGCGCTTCCAAGACCTGTGAAGAGCCACATGCGACAACACCACCACCACCACCACCACCACCACCACCACACCCAACAAGTTCAAACCGCCACCGGCGTGTTCGAAGTCCCTTTGAGTCCCTTTGTTCGTCCACGGAATCACGCCAATTCATGTGGACGGCGGATGATCCATCATGGAGCACCACACGATTCGATCGTCAGAGATCGTCAGATAGGATGCTTTCTTTTGCCGCCTGTGTGTCCTTCCCGTGGGAACCGACGGCGCCGGGCTGGATATGCTCTTGGCCAAAGATGAAAGATGGCAAGTGACGAGGGCTTTGGGAGGAAACATCCATGGAAACAAACGAGTTCACTCTCGATCCGGTCCCACGCTCTGGCACCTCGCCCACCTCGAGCCGTCTCAAGGTCTTCGATTTGATGGAAATCTCTTCACTCATCACAGTGGCCTGGCATCTTCCACAGTGGACCCCCTATGCCCCATGGACAACCATTCAGTGGCTACAACAGCCGGCACCTGTCACAAGGTGTCAAACCAGGATGTGGCTGATGGATGGTGATTGATCGATCGCTCCCCAGAAAGGTTTTTTGCACCGAAGATCTGGCTGCTGGCATTCACTGCAAATTGGCTTCTTTGCAACACCTCCTGCAAATCTCCCAACTGACCTTTTTACAAGGA